TATTTTTTCATGCATACAACTTCTATTTCCTATATGTAGTAGGTTTCAAGCTGGTGTTCATGGAATTATTAGGCTTCTGGGGGAAATGGCTCAGGTCTTCCTGAGATTATGGGTAAAGGTATACAGACATGCTTTCAGGCTGCATCCTTCCTCTTCAACCAGACTAGCAGCCCTGCTTTGCTCGATCTTACACTCATAAAATCACAGCATCTAAAGCATTATGAAAACCACTGAGCTGCAAAGTATTCTTTATGTAAAGACTTGTAGCCATGGAAACTCTGAGAAAAGGCAAAATGTTCTGTACTTCAAAGCAATTTTGGGGTCCTTGGGAAGGGGTTGGCCTCAAATAATCTCACCACTCCTGTAGTGGAAATAACTTGGGCAACATGATAAAACCTGCATTTCTAGCTTTGGAAAAATGGTGGCTCTTCCGAAACATAATCCATCTATTTCTCTGCATTTGGAAAATGACCATAAAATACATTTGCAGAAGTTTCTTATCAATGTGTAAAGAGGGAGAAGGGGGAAGGCATCATCACCACAATATTTTCTCTTTGATTCTTTGCATGGTCAAATTAATTTGTATTATGAGATGTGAAATTTTAAAAATTTTCACCAGTCTTGTTATTAACTGTTATTCCAAACCTTAGTAATTGCACTAAACAGCCAGATAATTGATTCCATTAATAATCAAAACAGGCTTTGTAGAGATTCATTTGTATTCAAACACAGATTTGCATTATTAATGTTTTTGGTAGTCCACTACTGGTTGAAAAATACAACATATAAAGCTCCCCCAAAAATCTGGTTTGTAATGTCTTTTGGGAAAAAGTTTTATATATAACTAATTCATGTTTTTATCTTGAATGATTATTGGTTTCAAAGGATAGGTATTAATAAAATAAATATCCCTGGAGTCATATTTTATCCCTGTAAGCAACTTTTAATAATCATTAGTTCCCAAAGTTCTCACAGCTGACAGCTTGCCTACTGGGTTGCTATGAAGATTGTTTTCAAAGACGGTAATATATGTTCTACGGCTTCATATCTAGGCAATGAAATAAATTTTAAATTTACCAGAAAACAGGAAAAAATCCTGTCCTAGCTTTCATTAGACCCATTTCAAAATATTTTAATTTTATAAAAATAAAATTAGATCAATGATTGACCACAAGCAGTACACTAGATAATGCGCAGAATTGTTTTGATTTAGATTTATTTGATTAGAAATATGCAACAGATGAACTACTTAAGGTGACTTCTATTATTAGGCTCTGGATTTATCAATAAATATACCCTTGTATATAAATATGCATTTCATGTGTCAAAAGAGGGCTTATAGGAGGATGGGTGTTTACTTATAAATGAAGGGCAAGATTGGGAATGGTTTGGGAGAGGAGACATTGCCTGCCATTGACACATGGTTTGAGAGGACTGGCTTGTACTACTCCTATGTCCTCTATCTTTAGAAACCGAACAGGGACAAATTTGAGTTTGCTAAACCTGATCCGGTACCTGGGCCACACTGACTGAATTCCTAACACACCACAGATGCCTAAGGAATCATTTACCTGAATAGCTTTGATAGATATGTTGTTTAGAAATGAAATTTGATTGATTTGGCTCAACTTTTTGACAATAGGTTTTAACAAAAATGGCATAAAAAATGTTACAACTTTACTACATCTCTTAAGAATTCCAGTTTTTAAGACTTTATATCCTCTACCATCTAATGAATATGCTTTGTATTTTCATTAACTTTTATCTTCCTGTAAAGATGATCAGAAAACTCCAGTAAAATTTACTGCTAGAATCAGTGATCCACATACCTTGCATCTGTTTACATTTTACCTTATATTTTTATAGCACTTTGAAGTTTGCAAGGCATTTTTATGTTAATACTGAATTACATTTTGAGAATATTATGTGATACTGTCAGGGAAGGGTATTAGTGATCATTTTAAGGTAAAGAACTTTGAAATAACCCCCAAATAATCTTACTACTGCAAAATAGTAAACATGTGGATGATGCAGGCCTCAATTTCCCTGAAATATATATATATATATATATATATATATATATATATATAAGATTATTACTGGATTTCTCCTGTCCATACATGTTCTTTATAGTCAACATGACAAAGCATTTTTCTTTAGGTTACTGCTCTAAATTTCTCCCTTGCTCTATTGGTACAGATGGGGCAAGGGAGTGCAATGCATTTCATTTATAAACTACTGCAAAACATCTCTACTTTTCAAAGCCTCTCTTCTTCCACTTGCAAGTATTCCACAACTAAGTACATTGCTAAGAGTTTCCAGAGAAATTCATAAAAAAATCTGAGAGAACTAGAGCTCCCACTTAAAATCTTTTCCCGCTAAGAAAAACTGTCTGCACTTAAAGTGAATGTAATTATTTGAGATGTTGAGAGGTGATTTTCTTGAGGGCATCAACAAAACACACAGACACCACAGAGCCACATATATAACAACACTCAAGAAGTAATTTCTTTCTTGCAGTTAGGAGCATTTCATAATACGTCCTGCACTTGCTGGCCATACAAATGATTAGGATGCCAACGCAGACCTTTTGTTCTTTGCAAAGATGCTCTAAAACTCACTAAGACAGATAATGAGGAAAGCCACATTTTGACTCAATCCAAGTAACCTAAGGACAGGCTTTGAAATAACAGAGAAGCCAGATTAATTTTTTTCTTACTTGAGAAACCGATATTACTGCACAAT